ACTATTATCATTTGTTGGTTGCATTATAATTGAAGGAAATGCCAAAATTTCAGTTAGAGGTTAGTGAAAATAAATAAGTATTCTTGACCCATCCAAGTTCAAGGCCCCCTGCCTTCATTCTCTGGTTAAGAACCCCTGTGTTGGAAATACCAAGCAGGGAGGAAAGGGAGTTCTGAACCCTTTTATAACTTTTCCTGGGACAGATATTTTGGGCTTGTAATAAAATCCAATTATAATTTCAGTTCCCTGGTGAGATTCTATTGTAATTTCCTTTTGCTTTATTTGGAATACAAAGGAGAAAGTTTTTCTTCGAATCTATTTGCAGGGACCTACATTTCACAAAGGACTTAAACAAAGGCAACTCGGGCAGAGGATTTGCATGAAATATTCATTTCTCTTAATGCAGTGAAATGGATGCCTTTTCAGGAAAAGTTATTGCTTGCAAAAATGATTATAAGATCATATATATTCCCAAGAGGAGGAAAATTAGTTACACAGGGAAGTGAGAGGGTTAGGGCCCCTTTGGGGAGAATTTTCTTGAGGAAGCTTCAAACAGAGCCCAAGAGAAAAAGGGATCTTAGAGGACCTAGTGATCAGGGAGGCTTCTTGGAACAGAGAAATAGGCCAGAGTTCCAAGGGGAAGGCTTGGGTTAGGTGAGTGATGAAAGGTATGTTAATGGGAGTGGGGAGGACAGGTAGCTTTGGCCCAAGTGAAGGTATGCAGGGACGTGAGCCTAGTCAGGTAGGCTGGAGACAGTTGTGAAGGATCTTCACTGATATCCTGGTATGTGGCATATCTTTGACAGAGGGAGTCAGTGAAGCCTTTTCATAGGAATGAGATAAAGAAATTTCTGATATAGGAATAGCAACATGACCATGTTTCAGTCGAACTGGGTGTGGGAAGAAAATATGGACAATAGTTTTAGGATCAAATGGCAAGACTGGATAGAGAGAATTATACCTGTTGTCCCTATCCTAACGTCTCCCATAATTGTCTAAGGATGGGATTCACCTGGAGAACTTATTAATTATACAGATTGCCAAGATTCCTCTCAGCAAATTATAACCTCAATAGGTCTGAGATTCAATAGAGAATTTATCACTTTTTATTTTTCAATTATACATGACATTCAATATTATTTTATATTAGTTTCAGGTATACAGCCTAGTGGTTAGACATTTATATAGCTTAAGAAGTGATCCCCCCCAATAAGTCCAGTACCCACATGGCATCATAAACAGTCACTACAATATCATTGGCTATATTCCCTATGCTGTACTTTACATCCCCGTGACTATTTTGTAACTAACAATTGTATTCCTCCCGTCTCCTTTTTCACCTAGCCCTCCCACCCCCTTTCCCATCTAGAAACCATCAGTTTGTTCCCTGCATCTATGAGTTTGTTTCTGTTTTGTTTGTTTATATCCTTTAGATTCTCTAGATTTCACATATAAGTGAAATCATATAGTATTTGTCTTTCTCTGTCTGACTTATTTCAGTTAGCATAATACCCTCTAGAGGTCCATCCATGTTGTCACAAATGGTAAGATTTCATTTTTTATGGTAAAATAATATTCCATTGTGTGTGTGTGTGTGTGTGTGTGTGTGTGTGTGTGTGTATATATATATATATACACACACACACATACCACCTCTTCTTTATCCAATCATCTATCAGTGGACACTTAGATTGTTTCCATATCTTGGCTATTGTAAATAATGCTGCAATGAACATAAGGATGAGTATATTTTTTCAAATTAGTGTTTTGGATTTTTTTCAGATAGAAACCCAGAGGTAGACTTGCTTGGTCATAACATAGTTGTATTTTTAATTTTTTGAGGCATCTCCATACTGTTTTTCATAGTGGCTGCACCAATTTGCAATCCCACCAATAGTGCACGACAGTTTCCTTTTCTTCACATCCTAGACAGCACTTGTTTGTTGATTTATTGATGATAGCTGTTCCAAATGGTGTGAGGTGATATCTCATTGTGGTTTTAATTTGCATTTCTCTGATGATTAGTGATATTGAGCATCATTTCATATGCCTAGAGGCCATCGGTATGTCCTCTTTGGAGAAATGTCTGTTCAGGTCCTCTGCCCATTTTTTAAATTGGATTGTTCGTTTGTTTTTGGTGTTAAGCTGTATAAGTGCTTTAAAATTTTGGATACTAACTCTCTATCAGATGTATCATTGGTGAATATATTCACCCAATTGGTAGATTGTCTTTTCATTTTGTTGATGGCTTCCTTTACTGTGCAAAAACTTTTTAGTTTGATGTCGTCCCATTCTTTATTTTTTCTTTTGTTTCCTTTGCCCAAGGAGATGTGTCAACAAAAATATTACTAAGAGCAATGTCAGAGAGTTTACTGCCTATGTTTTCTTCTAGGAATTTTATGGTTTCAGGTCTTACATTTAAGTCTTTAATCTATTTTGACTTTATTCTCATATATGGTGTAAGAAAGTGGTCCAGTTTCTCCTCCATCCTGCCCTCCCTCTCTCCCTCTCCCCCACTTTCTTTCTGTCTCTCTGTCTGTCTGTCTCTCTCTCTCTCTCTCTCTCTCTCTCTCTCTCTCTCTCTCTCTTTCTTTCTTTCCATGTGTCTGTCCGGCTTTCCCAACACCATTTATAGACAGGAAATTTATCATTTTAAAAACAGCTCCATGTGATTTTATCTTCATACACATTGGAAAATACTTCAACGTTGTTCTGATCAGATGGAAAATTTCAGTAAGGGTGCCAAAGCAAAAATTGCACTGGACAATGTTAAATAGGCAGTGAAGAATTTATTCAAGGCTATTGCAATAGGAGAGAGAAACCTGAACTCAGCTTTGCTTAAACAAAAGGCAGGAGGAAAATACTGGAGTACTTAAAGAAAGAGGTACTCAATGGAATGTGTTGAACACACTGGGTTGTTCCCGAGTTGGCAAATGTTTTTCTCTTGATTTGGCCACCTGTGTTTGCTAATTGGCACCCACCAATTAGCAAGTTAGGCTTCTACCTTCCCATAGAGACTGGCAAATGGGGCACTACCTTTCCAGCTGATTACATTTCAAAGGGATAGCTCCTAATCTTTCAGAAAGACACTCCTGGGTTGTAAAATGGGAGAGGCTGGGAGAAGATTGACATCTCAGTGGGGCAGAGAAAGAATTTACAAGGTTTTTGAAGCAAAGCCTCATAGAAAAGGGAGGTCAGGGACCATATGGTCAGGAAGAATCCTGTGTAAAGTTTAGTCAAGGCTATCTTGGTCAAGGGTAAAGTACTGTTACTACTATTACAACCTTCAGGGTGGATTGTGCCTGATAGAGCATGGAAAAGAAGAATCAATATTAGGAGGGAAAAACCCACCTGACTTCCTAACCTAATGTTGAGAATAGGAGAGGCGGATTCAGAAGGGTGAGCAGTCAAGTCTAGTGAACCTGGCCATAGGGAGAATGAGGATACGTTGGTAGAAATGGAATTTCTGGCTGGCAGGCAGAGTGATGGTGCCCAATGACCCAGGCCGACTTGGTAAAGCACATTTCCTTGGGAGAAACAGTACCCTGTAGTCAGCACCGGCAGCTGAGAGAGAGGGAAAGCAGCAGAAGAAAGAAGGCTGTGGAAGCCTCCTCTGTAACATGAGCCTTGCTGACAGAACCTGTAGGGAAGCCCGGATGGTGCATTTGTGATGCATCCTGTTTTAGCTTCACTCAAGTCTCTCTCTCTCTCTCTCTCTCTCTCTCTCTCTCTCTCTCTCTCTCTCTCTCTCACACACACACACACACACACACACACACACACACACA